TTAGAAAAATAACATTCCAATATATATCTAAAGAAATGAGGATGTGCATGTTAACTACTACTTTTAATCCTACTCAGTTTCGTCCATTTGACTGTAAGTGATTCATATATATACATCCAAACTGATTGGCGCAACCAAATCAAACGAATGTGGTAAATAAAGGTACATGGAGTCCAATGCATTCAAAAAATGCCATTTGGACGTATGCTGTTTTGACGGGAATATTCCTACGTTCACTTTTAATTTTTACAATTATGTTTTTGAAACTTAGATATGCGTTTTTATCCTCAAAGAGTCTTCACCAGTGGAAATTTAGTATCGGTTCATAATAATATTTAACAGTAGGATTGAATTGTAGTTGATAACTATTCTAGTTAAATTAATTAACCGTATTTCATATGACCATTCAGAGACACCCGGTACGTATCATTATCGTTCAAAATGTACTGGAAAAAATACCAAAAGGCCGGCCAATGAAAATAGGAATGGAGGACACATTGGCCAAAGTAAAAAAAAAGACAGACGACGGTCCACACAACACTAACCCATCAAATACCTGACAGAACACTAGTGCCCCGGAAGGGTAAGCAAATCCTTACCTACTAGCAAGACTCGTTGTTTAATAAAACGTAAAAACCCGTTAGTAAGTTGCATGTGGTGATGGCATAAACGATACAAGAAAGAAAAATCATTACATTTGTGTATACATGTATTTGTATACGTAGATTCGCTTATTCATTATTTGTATGAAATATTGCGAGCATCCGAATACCTCGTTTGATTTCCAGCCAGTCCTTGGGAAAATCTTACTCTAAGTGTTTCATTAGTACCTTCTAGAAACAGGTTCATTCACTTAACTGATTAATTAAAGTATTCATCCACTAAGAATAATGAAATTTTCAAATAGAGAGAAAATTTCGAGAGAATAAATGGCTTAATGAACGAAGGTATATTGAATGCTATAAAATATTTGTGAGAACGGAGGCATTTTTTATGAACAAATATGTTTTCTAATTCTAGATAAAATTTGTAAAGTTAAAGTTAATTTTGATTTGATATTTCAGAAAATATAATAAAGACTAACCACAAATAACGGTTGAAGATATTGGTCCGTAACGGAATCTCTACTTCAATTAGACTGGGAAGTTTTAACCAATTCATTCAAATTAGTGTACACCTTTCAATTCCCAAAGTATCATGGTATGTTTATAGCAGAACAACATTTACAACAACAAATACTATACATATCAGAACATGCAACCGTAAACCATTCAATCTTTATTGGAAAAAGATGTGATAAAAAGTTTGTCGGTTCAAAGTATGTACCATTGCAAATTTGAATATATAATTTAGATCATCTGACTATGAAATTATATAATGATACCAACCAGTTCTGGAACCTGACGTGTTACTTAGATGTTGGGCGAGACAGGATAAGCTGCACTGGCATTTCTTTAATACACACTATAAAACAAGTTAAAGCGCACAAAAAAAATTATTTTCAAAAATAAACAAATAAACATGCAGTGTACATAATGAATATAAATTATAGAGAAATAACCGACATGTGACAAAGGAACCGACAACACCAACCACCAACACGTTCCTGCCTCGAGAAAATTGACGTACAGATAAAGACATCAACAAACAGCAGATAGCCGATTAGATACAAGCACACATTGTACAGGGGTTAAAACAGTTTTGTGTGTACACAAACCTCGTCCTTTGCATATTTAGACCACATGCCCTAACATTGAAACGCACAATAAAAATCCCGCACCAGTCCAACTGCCAACAGGAAGAACACTTACTTAAGCAAGAAAAAATGAAGGTAACTTATTTGGGACAGAAGATCAAAATGTGTTGGCTACTAAATGTATATGTATGTTTATATATGATACCTGATACATGTACACACTAAATTGCTGCTAACAATTTTTTTAATGTTCACGCACTTACATGTTTTAGCACCGTAGTAAAATCTCTAAATAAACGTGAAACCTCATCCAAGTAGTAACTAAACTAAATGATAATGGATTGGTGTTAAACGTCCAGTGACAAATATCACATGCATATAATAGATACACCTTGCTCGTGTAATATGACTATAAATGAAGCCTGCTTTGTACTAGACCGACATTCTGAGTCTGATTTTAACGTGCCATTCCCCAGTAAAACACCACCTTACCCAGACACATTATTCTGACTACGGGACAACCACTCTTTGTCCTTACTCCTTAAAACCGCATGGTTAGCGGAGAAGTATCAAATACCAATTTGATTTACCCCAGATTTTGGTGGGTTTCGTGTTGCTCAGTCTTTTGTTTTCTATGTTGTGTTTTGTGTACTGTTGTTTGTCTGTTTGTCTTTGTCTATTTTAGCCATTGCGTTTTCAATAGATATAAGAAGATAAGGTATGAGTGCCAATTAGACAACTCTCCACCCAAGTCACAATTTATAAAATTAAACCATTATAGATTAAAGTACGGCCTTCAGCACGGAGCCTCAGTTTATTTTCGACTTATGAATTTGAATGTCCCTTTGGTATCCTGGATCAACTGAAGTATACTGAACAAATAGTTCCCAGTTGCGCATCTGCAATTATCAAAGTATGAATAAAAACACATCGACACATCGACACATCGACATATCGCCACATCGACATATCGACACATCGACATCTCTACATATCGACATATCGACACATCGACATACATCACATCGACACATAGACACATCGACACATTGACACATCGACATATCGAAGGACTATCGCAAAATTAAATCTATTAAATCGTAATTTTAAAGTTTTGTCAATTTGTGATTTCACATGAGAATATAATGCAAACGCAATATTAAAGTTTCATGCTGTGTCAATGACAGGTCGAGCAGCGTATGATGTATCAGTGTACAATCAAGCACCGTTGCTTTTGTCACTTTGCAGTCTAGCGCCGTAGGCTGTGTCAATATGTAGTCTAGCGCCGTAGGCTGTGTCAATGTGTCGTCTAGCGCCGTAGGCTGTGTCAATGTGCCGTCTAGCGCCGTAGGCTGTGTCAATGTGCCATCTACTGTCATAGTCTGTGTCATCGGTTAGATATATTGTAAGATTTACTATTTCTTACTTTTTACTGTGCAACTGTGTGGTATAGTACCGGAGACTAGCGCCGTAGGCTGTGTTGGGCTTTGGTTTATGGTTAAGGTGAAGCTATTTTAATGTTCTGTCTAGCGCAGTTGTATGTATCAATGTGCCATCTAGCGCCGAAGGCTGTGTCAATGTGCTATTTTGGGCAGTAGGCTGAGTCAATGTGACGTATAGCTCCGTGGGCTGCATGTGTCAATGTGCCGTCTATCGCCGTAGGCTATGTCAAAGTGTCATCTACCGCCATAGGCTGTGTCAATGTGTCGTCTAGCGCCGTAGGCTATGTCAATGTATAGTAAGGTTTGTGTAGGCTGTGTGACCGGTTGTGTCTATGTGTCCGTGTGTCTATGTGTCTCAAAGTCTTTATAAAAATTAAGATTGGCGTATGCATATTATACTTGGGGTATGAATATTTAAATTTTTATTCGCCAAGGAACTACTTGTTCCGTATACTCCAGTTGAGTGTTAAATGATTTGACCGAAACGAGAATTGAAGACACGCCCTCCATGAGACTACCGGGTCAGTATAAAAATAATTGACGCTGACATATATTATTAGATAAGTAAATGTATTTTAAAACATAATTATATAATCCAATTGTTTTGGGTGTCCATCCTGCTGTTGCAGAAACCTAATATATTCGACCTTCGTTAAAACGAAGTGACAACTATAATATGGTGCTGTCGATAGAATTACAAAGTGCATTTTGCTTCAGTAGATTTAATATGCACGCAAGCTTTAGTTTATGGCAAGCCGTTTTACTATTTATTCGAATTTCAAGATATCTCATATAATATATAAGATATCTTATATAATATATCAGATATTTCATATAATATATAAGATATCTTATATAATTTAATTTTTATAAGATATCTTATCTATTATAAGAAATATCTTATAAATATTTTTTATATAAGATATCTTATATAGTTTATAAGATATCTTATAAAGAAAATTATATGAGATATCTTATAAACTATATAAGATATCTCATAAAGTATATAAGATATCTCATAAACTATATAAGATATCTCATAAACTATATAAGATATCTTATAAACTATATAAGATATCTTATAAAGTTTATGATATATCTTGAAGTTAGAATAAATAGTAAAACGGCTTGCCATATTAGTTATTCTATGGAGAGAGAGAGCTGTCTGTTTTTTAAATGCATTTCTGGTGAAAATAAAAACAGTTATAAACAAGGTATCACTAGTGAAGTAAATATGTACTATTTAATGTTACCTCTATTTTCCAGATAAAGTACATTCTAAGAAAAAACTCATTGCTGTATTGCTATATCACTATTACTCAATTGGTATTAGCCCGTAAAGTATTGATTAATTCTTTTTAAACAAGTAAGCCCCATGAATTCGAAATTTGAAAAGTATTAAAAATCAGGTATTCATCATGTTCATATGTCATTCATTAGTCGGTCTCTGTCAGATAGCATTTTTTATATTTTTAAATTGTGTCCAACATATTTTGCTTTTAAGGGCTTTAAAATTCTTACATAAAGCAAAACTACAACACAAAGGTTGACACAGTAATTCGTCTGTGTTTCAACAGTAAAATGTGGTTGAGAATTGAATAGCAAAACCTTAAAATGCGAATTATGCAGAACTTTCAAAGTCAATGGATCATGACTGAAGAGGCGGGGCCACAAAATCTCCATCGAAACGGGATATAACAAATGCCAACATTGACTTAATATTTGTTGTACCCCTTAAGCTAACATAATTCAAAACATTAACATGTTAACTATACCAAAAGTCAATGGACCGTGACTTGGGGGAAAGGGGAGGGTGTCAAATATTTTCATATTTCTAACTCATATTACGGAATGCATTCAAATTAAGATGATAAATTTTATTTAAGCCTTTGCTTCATGTCGATCACATTCTATAGATATCAAAGGTATGTTTCTATTTGTTCTGTCTGAATCACTATGATTAGTACTATTTTCAGTCAATAAGGCTGTATTCGCATTATTTAAATCATGTTTCTGTTCGATGTTGACATGTTTATTCATCGAATTCTTAATCATAACTGACGTCTGCCCTTGAAGCGCATTTTCATTTTCCTCTTCATGTATCTGAAACGACAGTAGAATCACAGAATAACATTTCAATTTAAATATTTACATAAAAGTCAGTACAACTGGTAAAGAAATTTCACTTACAAATGTTTTTAAATTAGCATGAATTTATCCTCAGATAAAACTCAATAATGTTACAATGCCAATACACATCTAGCAATGATTGACAAATAAAAGACAACAAATGAGCTTTGTTAAATCGACAAAGTCAATACCTTACATGCAGGATGAACCATGACGCCGATGAATAAGAACTCGTAAAACAATTATTTTAACTTTTTAAAAGGATGAATATAAAAAGAATTTTTGATAATTGTTTTGCGAGTTCTTTTTCAAGCGGCATTCTAAATACTTAGGAAGTGGATTAATTATCGTACACTTTCAATTGATTTGAAAGGATAAATTTTTTCCATTTTTTAAAATTTTTTGCTATACTTTAAGTTCTTTTTTGTTTTTGATCAGCTCTTCCAACGTTTTTATGAGGTTTTGGATTTTCTAATATTTCGGCCTCGAGCATCACTGAAGAGACACTAATTGTCGAAATGCGCATCTTGTGCATGATGATTGGTACCATTAATGTTATTTTAAACGATTATATTATTATCACACCATAGATACCTGGGATATTTTAAATTGGGTCTATTATTTTAAATGAAATTTTTTTATATTATTTGTTACATTATGTACTAAAACCATAATTATTATTTGCTTCTTTATGAGTCTTACATTTATTATCTACCATTCAATCCTGTTTGGTTTTCTATTTATGTTATCGTTGTACATGTTTATAATATGTAATCGGTAAATAAATAAAATAAGAGGTACCATATAAAATTGAGGTGTATATCATTAGATGTCTTAAAATTCTATGCCTCAGTTTTGTTTGTTTGACGGTTGTTAATGTCTCATTTGAAATTCTGTTACATCTCCATGGAACATTAACGTTTTACCTCTGTTATAATAAATCTATTAAAAATTGAACTTAACAAAAACTGGTTTATCAATTGAAATATGAATATGATGCTATATTATAAAAAAGGTATAATTAACAAAAATGAACTCCAAGGTGAATTCAAAAATGGTCAGTCTATAAAAACTGACAAAAACAAACGTAAGACTTTATCAAACAATGTAACGAATGGAAAACAGCTTATGTGTTTGGTAGTTTTATAAATAAAATATATCACACTAGTACATTCTTACCTCTGGTTTTTTATAAATATATCCAAATTTCATAAATTTTTTAACAGATTTTGGCAAAAAGAAAAAGAATTCATCCACCGCCGATATTAAATACAATGGATTTGAATCTTCTGGTCTTGTATAACCTAAACGAAGATAAAATCAAAACATAACAAGGTAGTGATAGTAGTTCTGACCTACAGCTTAAACAATGGAATGGTGCTGACAAAAAGAAAACACAGAATGGGCTACTAATTGCAATTAATCTCAAAAACAATTAGTTACTATTGCTGAAGTCATCTCTGATACTTACATGGGGACAACCAAGTCTGTGTATACTGTTATGGACAGTATATACCACAGCCGACAGCGCATGTGTTTGGTTTGTCATGAACGTTTTCCATTGCTCAAACACTGTTGACAAAATCGACATATGACAGGATTCTTACTTGTTTTGAGCAATGTGACGAATACCGCAAGATGAACAGAAAACGTGTACCCTTCCGACCTACCTGAATTTGTAATAGATTTCTGTAATCCAATTTGTGTTAGTTCGCATGGTGTTTATTTTTATTATTGCCCTGGCACAAATTTTTGTTTCAGATTCTCACCTGGAGGCATGTTCATGATTATTCGCCGGTTATGTCTAGTGAAGTAGAAACTGCTAGTCCGTTCAGATATGACATATTTTTTAAGATCTGTTTGATTTGTGAATATAAATCATTGGTATCCTAAATCATGTTTTAATATTGTTTGCGGTCTTTTTGTCCCTTTCTCCTTGCATTTTATGTTGTCTGTTCCTTCCTTCTATTCCGATTGTGCCGTGCATCTTTTTACTGATGAGTCTTATGTAGACGAAACGCGCGTCTGGCATATTAAATTATAAGCCTGGTACCTTTGATAATTGTTTACTCGTCCTACAATAAAGACACAAAAATACCTTACCTGTCAGAAAGCTAATTATACTACCAACAATCATTACAGTAAATATACCAATCACTCCAAACCATGGATAGGCAATTGAATAAAAATAATCTATACCACTCCTGAAATACAACGCTAGTTCTACAGCATATCATTAAAGCAAATACTAGCATATAGATTATTTAATGGTATATTAGTTTCAGGACTTTTTCTAGAATCATGGTCTATTGCAGTTATGGTACCAGTCTTCAAACGCGGCGACCCAAGTGACCCGAATAACTTTCGAGGCATAAGCCTAGTCAGTTGCTTAGCCAAACTTTTTACACACATTATAAACAATAGACTAATAGCATGGGCAAGCACGTATAATACAATTACTGATGCTCAATTTGGATTTAGAAACGGACTTTCTACTGTTGATGCAATTTTTATTCTACAAAGTATTATTTCAAAAACACTGTCAGAAAAGAAGAAACTTTGCTGTTTTGTTGATTATACAAAGGCTTTTGACACTATTGATCGAATGAATTTATGGTTTAAATTGTCTAAAATTGGTATACAAGGAAAATTACTGTCAGTTATTAAGTCCATGTATTTAAATATCAAATCATGTGTTACAATAAATGGGTTTTACACAGACTTTTTCAAAAATAATGTTGGTTTAATGCAAGGGGAGGTATTGTCGCCCATTTAATTTGCTTTATATATGTTAATGATTGTGAGATGGGGTTTATAAACAATAATTGCATGTAAAGCTGTAGAGTTGAAAGAATTAAGTTTATTTTTTATATGTATGCAGATGACATGGTCATTTTTTCGGAAACCAAAGATGGTTTGCAAGAGATGTTAAATGCATTGTATATTTGTAGGACTCTAAAGTGCGATGGGGACGCTAAAGTACGATGGTCACGCTAAAGTGCGATGGTCTACGCTAAAGTACGATGGTGTCTCACGCTAAAGTCCGATGGTCCGCGAAAATATAGACGTTAGAAACGTACTTTGATAATGACGTTAACAGTCGTTTATACAAACCAAAAATGAACATGCGGGAAGATAAGAATATTTGATTAACAACTTTTACACCAAATGTCCGTGACTTACTAGTAATTGATTTAAACTTAACCGTTCTTTGTCGGCTGAAGCACAATGTTTTTTTTCGAGTGATGAAAGATTTACTTGCATCCTACAGTCAACCATTTTACTTTAAAGATACAAAATATTATACGCATACGTATCCTGTATCCTGCTTCTATTTGAAGCGATCGGATACATTTCAATCATTGTTTATGTGGCAGTTTCCTTTGCATGCGATCACCGTTAAAGTACTGTCGATTTTAATGAAAAGTAACGTCGGTAAAATAGAGTTACATGTTTTCATGCGTAAATTGTCTGCTAAAACATTTATCAGTTTGTACATTATAGGAAAATAAAATATGTATTTGTACTCGCTACGAAAAAGGAGAAATCTCGGCGAACATTGCCTTTCTCTCGCATTTAAATTAAAGCTTATACAAATAAAAGTTGTATATTCCGACAATGAACGAATTTTGTAATTGTAATTTTCAATGACGACTGTAAGGGAGGTTGTCACATTAGTGTGAACGGCAAGCTACACCAGTTATCCAAATATTCAATACGCTCCGAATTGTTACAATTTCATTTTACAGGAAATATAGTATTGAGTGACGCTTAAATACCTTTTTAGTAGTTATTATTGGTCGGTCTTCCAAATTTAGAAACAATCACTTAAGCCTTTCTGTAAATCATAAAGGCTATCTAAATGTTATTCCTTAGCAAACTAGCTTTTGATAAAAGACTATTTTTTAACCTCGGTGTACTTTAACGTTTTAATCCCACGAATCTTACCCTTTTGGTCCATCGCACTTTAGCGTGATATAACCATCGTACTTTGGCGAACAAACAAGCATCGCACTTTAGCGTGAGACACCATCGTATTTTAGCGTAGACCATCGCACTTTAGCGTAACCATCGCACTTTAGAGTATCATCGCACTTTAGAGTCTTACATATTTAAACAAAGAAATGGAAATTAGCGGTAAATATTGATAAAACCATAATTGTAATTTTTAGAAATGGTGGCTTAGTAAAGGAAGAAGATAAATGGTTTTATGATTATGTACAAATAGATATTGTTAACAAATTTACTTATCTAGGTGTTGTTCTTAATTTTAATGGAAAATTTGCTGTTGCACAAAAACAAGTTGCAGAACAAGGTAGAAAAGCTATGTTTTGTTTATTTAGTAATATTAGACAATTTTCATTTAATTATGCCACGTTATTATCATTATTTGATACATATGTGAGTAGTATTCTATGTTATGGTTCTGAAATATGGGGCTTCCATAAAGCTCAAGATGTAGAAAAGATACATATTGATTTTTGTAAAAGAATTTTGAATGTTAAAACACGTACACCGAATGTCATGGTTTATTATGAACTTGGCAGATTTCCAATGTTAGTAACCAGGAAATTGCGTAGATTTAAATATTGGATTAAGGTATTGAATAATAGCAATTGTATATTACTTGGTTGTTACATTATTTATATGATATGTGTTTGAAGAATACAAATGACAAAAATAACTGGGTTTGTAATATACGAAAGGAATTGTTCCACCTTGGTTTAAATGATCTGTGGTATTCACAAAATTCTTTATGTAAACATCATATTTTGGTTATTAAACAGAGACTATGCGATATTTTCAAACAAGAGTTTGATGCTACTTTAGATAGTTCATCAAAATGTATTTTGTATAGATATATGATATCCTATTTTTCTTTGCAGTCATATTTATGTAATCCAATACCCGAAATTTACAAAAAGTGTATTGCTAAATTTAGATTGTCATCACATAATCTAGCTATAGAGAAGGAAAGGTATTCTAATGTAAAAAGAAACCTTAGAACCTGTACATTGTGTATTGATGATATTGAGGATGAAATGCATTTTATTTTATCATTTCCTTTATATTCAAATTTGCGTGAATGTTTGATAAAACCATATTATTGACGTAAGCCATCTGTTTATAAACTTTTACAATTATTAAGCACTACTAATGTAAAAGACTAGTGCAACTTAGGAAAATATGTATTTAGAGCACTGAACCCCAGAGATGACTGTTTTCAGTAAGTTGATTTGTAAGTCATTTGTTACATATATTTGCCTTTTGGAATTATATTTATTTGTATTTATTTTTTTTGTATTTAATACTTCTGCCTGGTTTGTCATGATCGTATATTTTTGTAATCTATATTTAGTATATATTGATTATACATGTACCTATATGTTGTTAAACATTTGGTTAATAAAGAATTTAAATATAAATTACTAAAACATGGGGTAGGCAATTGACAGAAACCATTCCATATTTTAGCTGAACTAAAATATATATTCGTAACTGAAATTATAGAACTGCACTTTTTCATTGTTGCTATATTCGTTTATTACAAGATAGTTGAATAAAGGAATGTTATGGTTTTAGTTAAAAAAATCAATTTGAGAAAAATATATCAGCGCCATGCTAGAACTATAAATATGTGAGTTTGACCCTGTGCAATTTTGTATTGGTGCTACTCAGTTTTATCTCTTTTAAATTGTACGTTAAATCTTCCGAACATGAACCTATACGTACGGTATATTATCTGTTTCAGGAACTTCAGTAGTTAATATATCAGACTCTACATAATAAGGCATTGAGACTGGTGATGTCATGTTGTAGATTGTGGATATGTTCCTTAGAGGTAGGTAGCACTTATCAACAGGTGCGGACGGCAATGGCACCGCTTGTCGTACGTTTGTTGACGTGTACTGGCCTGTTATTATCCAGGTAATGAGTGTTATTCCAGATAATGTACCAATGATTGCACCCTGCAACAACGAAAGCATTAAATAAATAATGAAAACAGTACTATTGTAATTTGATACTCAACGTATGTTAAACTCCATGTCAAATTAGTAACACCCTACCAAATATCATGACCAATATCATCGCGAGAGACGATATCAATATCTACAAAGACTTTAACAGTCGAGGCAAATAGGAAATACCATAATATTATGAAAAAGCATAATTCTACTTACATCTTGTGGCAAATTTGAGTTATCTTTCTTAGACTCACCCTGACAATTAAGACATGGGAGATAACAACTTTTGTCTTAACGGAAGTTGTTAGGAAGATAACTTAATATTATCATAAGTATAATTAGGATACAACATAAATTTGTAATACTTATATCCATTGCATATCTGTTTTACAATGATTTATTTTTGTACCAATTTATGAATTGATAAGACTTTATCGAATTATCATGATTTTTATAACTTAAATCTTTGCATAGGTTATAGTTTACAATGTTTAATCTCGCGTTCCAATCATATTATGTTTCCATTTTTATTCACAATTGCATGTTTTTGTTGTGTAATTCTTTGACGCTATCGGTAAATCTTATCAGTGGTAAAACGGCAAAACCCTCGTGTTTTTATTATTATTATTATCATTATATGCATAAACAAATTTCTGTCTGTGTTTTTCTCGTACAATAACATTTGTTGGAATTGATTGTAATTCAGAAAATATTGCATAGTGCAAGGAGATTTGGTGCCACGATATCTCAGTAGCATGAAGTTTAATCCCGACCAGGGAAGAACAAAAATTTACAGATCCAGCATTGTTGGCCTCACTATATATATATATATATATATATATACAAGTCTAAATTGAAAACAACGTTCAAACCTATGATTGCGTTGGATAAAAACCGCAATTTTTATACGTGTGCATGCAAAAACAAATTTCTTGTTAGAGGGGTCTAAATACAGCACAAACAACATTTTCAAAAAGACCAAAATAGTGAAAAAGTATATTTTAACAAAACGCATTTGACTAACAGGTCGAACAACAAATGTTCTTAAACCCTGCTGACTGCCATTGGCGATTGCCAAATAAACGGATCACAACGTGTAATAAATGGCTTAATTAAAAATGTAATACCAAACAGAAAACAATAAACTTGCGGCAAAGATGGTATACCGCAAACAAAGGTGCAAAGATTTTTGTACACCATATCCGGATTTCGACAATTATTGTCTCTTCAGTGATGTTAGGAATCGAAACAGTATTTGGAAGGCCATGTAATTTACCTCAATTTAGGATAGACTCTCGAATTTTGAGGAGTCAAATTAGGATGAACGGCTCATATAAACCCGAAGGCAAATATAATACAAGCCCAAACGAAAAAATATAAACAAGTCTAAATTGAAAACAACGTTCAAACCTATGATTGCGTTGGATAAAAACCGCAATTTTTATACGTGTGCATGCAAAAACAAATTTCTTGTTAGAGGGGTCTAAATACAGCACATATGTATATATATATATTCATTATCATCCATGATTATTACAAAGATGTGAAACCGGTTGGTGAAAAAATATAGAAGATTAAAGGACTTTAAGAGCATTTTGAAATTTAATTTTATTTTTTTTTCTACTAGTGTGGACGAAGAATTCAATTTTAAGTATTTATATATATATAACTCGTCTAAACATCAGCCCAACAATGTTAGATCTGTAAATTTGCTTTCGCAAATTTTTTGTTCTTCCCTTGCCGGGATTCGAACTCATGCTACTATACAAATCTAAATTGAAAACAACGTTCAAAATTATAATTGCGTTGGATAGATAAAGTATATATATAGGTAAAAAAAATATAGGAAAAATAAGGATGAAAATGCACTATATATTCATATTCAATACGAATATTCCCATTTTGTCTATTCAAACATCAAATTGTTGAAAAATGTTCCAATAGAATTCTACTGGTTTCACTGCTTAACAAATACTCATGAATGAATTGAATATAAATACTTGGTGCATTTTCAGCCTTAATTTTCCCCCTTTTTTATGCACAGCGTGGACAAAACTTAAAACTTCAATATATATATATTCAATAATGTAAGATAAAGAACATTAAGACTTAAACCAAATGTCGGAGTTGAATTTTGTAAATCAACTAACAACACAAATTATCTTTATAACCAATGTTAGTGATAATTTGATGTAAGGTCCCAAAACAGATAAGAAAATGAAGTTTATTAACTATGCGGTTTGGGTTCATTGTTGAAGGCCGTACGGTGTCACCTTTAGCAGTTATTTTTTGTGTTATTTTGTCTCTTGTGGAGAGTTGTCTCTTTTGAAATCATACCACATCTTCTTTTTTATATTGTATAGTGTATTACGAACTAAAAAAATGAGTAAGAGATATTAACAAGAAATAATATGTAGGCCTAAGTTTAAATAGATACCTAGAATTAAATATACTTTTCTCTGTATGTGTGATATGTAGTTTTATGTAAAAAAATTGGAAAATGTAGAAACCGTACGTGTTCAACAGACGGAATTGTGTTAAAAACTTTATGATGAAATGACTATTAAGTTAAGTGCAGTTTTGTTACACTCTGGATTCTTTAAAGTTTTGACACAACATAATGCAGCTCCAATTCTTCCTTATCATAATCAAACATCCTGTTTTTTAAAAGCGGAACCACAAATAATTACAGTCTTTCGCAACAGTCTACCTTTATCAAGGTTGCGGTTTTATCTTGAAGGTCAATATCAAGTAATATTTTTTGTAAACTCATTCAAACATTGGAAACCGATGCATAGAATAGCATGCGTAATTACATGGTTGAAAACGCCACAAAGATAATACCACAGTATTAGCTATTGATAAAGCACACACAATTATATATATGTTACTTAAATGCGTTTAAAAAGGAGGATCTGAAGATCTCGGGGCCACTTACTATGTAATGAATGGTAGTGATGAGCTAAAATAGGTCACTATTTCATGAAAAGGGTGAGAAAATCAGATTGAATACATCGCGATCGATAGGTTGATATAATCACTTGCTTGATTATATTATAAGTATCTGATACTAATTATATGTCCGTATTTATTTTTGATGCGGCTGCCGTAAATACATCAGCTATTTGTCAAACCAATTAAACTCTATTTACTGAAATCTGGTATTTCCACTGATGCTATTTATAGATGCAATAAATCCGATAATTTTGATATGTGCACCTAATTCACATTAAAGGTTTGTTTACATGAAATATGATAACAATTATTTAAAGAAATTCCTTTGTGACAGCTAGCGTCCTATAGGTTACAATAAACCATTAGATTTTAAATTATTGACTGGGGTCACCTCTGATAAAAAATTGAGAAAATTCAGAGAGAAATGCCAGAACGTTTTGAAGATGATTTTTGTGTGGCATATATATTTGTGCATCTAACGAACTATGAATTGCATGATTCTAGAAAGTATTAAATACCGTATAGTTTACAATAAACCATTAGATTTTAGGGGCGCAGCCATTTTATGAGCATAACATGGTATTCAGAATTAAGAGTATAGCTAATCCTGATTGGTTGATATGTGCGCCCGTTATTTTTTGTTATTAGAGACTTCGTGCATTCTGCATTATACCAAAGGCCAAATAAATTATTTTCCTTAGCCCTAACGGAACTGAGATGTCTTTTAAACGCTAGGATGAGACACGTATTTTTAAGTGCAAAATTGATAGGCATGGGAGATATGTACACATTACGCTAAGAAAAGCAACGCGAACCTATATTTTTTGGACCAAAAAAATACTGTCCTAATAACTTTTCTTTAATTCTAGCAAGGTTTCGTTAAAAAATCAACTTTCTAAAGCCTGTATCTCGAAAAAGGCTATCATTGTCGCCTATGGGGAAATTAATTGTTTATTTTAATCTTTAAGAGGGAACGGCAAAGTAACTTTTCATCTGTTTTTCATTAATATTAAACTCAATGAAAGCGTTATATAGCTACTGTCAGGGCTGTTAATTCATTTATCTGATCAAACATCTTTAATTGTCTTTTGAAATTAAAATTTCTTCATAATAAAAGATATAAAAGGGGTAATAGAGAAAAGTGTTAAAGAAATGACGAATTTATTTGAAAAGTAAGGTGTTATATTTGGAATAAATACTCAATAGTAATTATTTCGTGAAGAATATAATTATAATCTACAACATAATTATTCTTCCTATTTTGTATTTTGGGACACTGACAGGAGGAGAGGGTATTGCAGAAAGGATTTAAAATTCGAGAAAAAAGGAGTATTAATGGATGGGAGAAAAAAAATCCTCGCTAATCCATAAAAAATAAAGCAACTTGCTATTTCTTTTTTTTTCGAACTCAATAGTGACGAACATTTCATTAAAGGTGTGTTTACCCGTGTTCAGAACTTTTGGACGGGTTGTACTGAATGCAAAACTGACTGATACAATATTACGAAATTTAGCTGGCGGGCGGGCTGACATGCAGTCGAGCAGGAGAAGAGGGAACCCGTTTTGAGCAATAAACTCCTAATCTCTAGTGCCTCATTAGCCCTTATTGGACATTGGAAATGATTTTATATATACTAATCTGTTAATACCTACACAGGAATTATTTTCCTTTATCTTATATTCATGTAAAATGTGACTGGTTCGATCCGTTGTGGACACTAGAAATCATATCATGTTCACACGGTCGGAGTAGTTTCTTATATCAACAGGATGATTTTCAACAGTTTAATATACTGCCTTTTATTTGCCACGTATGAAATAAGATTTCCCTGGAATTTAGTCATATTAGGTTAAATAGAAATACCGCATGTCGTTCTCCGTTCGTTATCCTCTATTGGCGCCATCAACTTAGAGCTACGTGTAGAACAAGAGCAACTTAGAGCTACGTGTAGAACAAGAGAAGAAAAAATATAATGTAAAAAATAAACTTGCAATTATCGTTCGGGTGTAAGGTATACTTGAAACACGCTATTAGACGCTGAAAAATT